CCAAATCCTAAATATGGTAAAGATCTTGTTTTATGTCATAATGATCTTCTTGTTAAAAATATTGTTTATAATGATAAAAATCAAACAATATCATTTATTGATTTTGAATATACACATTTAAATTATGCGTTGTTTGATATAGCAAATCATTTTGTTGAATATGCTGGTGTTGAAAATGCAGATTTTAGTATATATCCAAGTTATGATGAGCAAAAAAAATGGTTAAAAACCTATTTTCATACTCGACAATTGGATCAACAAATAATTGATGATGATTCATGTCGGCTTATTGATAAGTTTTCTGCTTTAGTATATTTAACATGGGGACTTGCGGCACTAGTACAAGCAAAAATATCACCTATAGATTTTGATTATGTTAATTATGCTAAAATGAGATTTAATTGTTATCAAAATTTACGATCACTTCTTTTTGAAAATGCATAAAATTATTTTATTTTTAAAAAAATCAAAATATAGAGAACAATCAAAAGAAATATTAGACGAGAATAACTATAAGATTTGTAATATTTTCAATCAATCGATATTGTCCTTCTTGGTATGGGAGCAGATGGTCATACGGCAAGTCTTTTTCCTAATCATTCAATAATGAATATAAATAAAGGACTTGTTACTTTCGTCGAAGATTCACCTATTGATGCATTATAACTACTCAGGTAATTAGAAAGTAACAAAAAACGATGACTTCTATGTGAAAACACGAAACAAACTGACATTTTTTAAATTTAAATTTCTATCAAAATTACAGAATAGGGTTTATTCTCTACTAGAACTATTCTTAATTGGTAAGAATTTGTCCACTCACTTTCATCTCTAACTAATCAATGAAGATATATTAATAAGAAGTTTGTTAATCGATTAGTTATCTAACATTTACTCCTATGTGAGCAACACGTACAGTAGTATAGAAGAACGTTACATGGAAAATAAATGACTGAAAAAGACCTGAAGGTTGAGAAAAGGAAAGAAATAGATACATATATGTATAGGATCGTATTTGTCAGCTTACGATATACAGAATAGAAGAAAGAAATATCCAGCACGAATGATTCACATTATAACAATGCTGTTAAAAGAACAGATCATTTTACAAGAATCAATAAATACAAACTGCGCTTCTCTTTTATATAAACCATGGACGTTGTTCAATCGTACATCTTTTACAAATCGATGAAATAATAAAATTGTTAATTTTAATCAATGAAAATAAAACACATAAAAGATAATGTCTGTTTCATCATTTTAATGCAAACTTTTTCATGTTTTTATTTTCTGAGTATTACCGAACATTCTCTAACGAAATATAATGTCAAATCAATGAAAGAATTCTTCAATCATGTCCATATTAAACTATAATGTATGTGTACTATTATAGTAATTCTGTTCGAAGACAAATAAAAGATGAATCAAGATCAAATCAAGTATAGGCTCAATTACATTATGAATTGCCTTTTAAAATATAACATTGCATGATACAGAGTTAAATGAAATTATTAAAAAGATAAGACATTTAATTTTATATTAACAATGAAATACATATAAGATAATAGTGTGATTTCATATTCATTAATAAAATGGTTATATTTAGCTGTATAAATAGTTAGTCAGTCACATACACGTGTGTGTACAAAGCCGACTAACCATGTACACGTGTGTTCATAGACACTTTCTTAGGTTTCTATCTAACAGAATAGATAAATCGATATTCATTTCTTCTATAAACTGCAATTCAAACACATGGCAATGGCAAACAATAAAAGACAATGCTTTACATGTCATAGAGAAAATAATACATATACCTGTGAAGGATGTTCAAAAAGATTTTGTTCTAGACATATACCAGAACATGAACAAAGATTAAATGAAGAATTACATCATATTATTCACGATTATAATGAATTTAAAGAAAGAATTAATGAACAAAAACAAAATCCACAATATCATGCATTAATAGAACAAATTAATCAATGGGAAACACAATCAATTGAAAAAATTCAACAAAAAGCCCAAGATTGTAGAGAAATTATCATTAAATCATCACAAACATTTATTAATAATACTGAAAAGAAATTTAATGACTTAAATCAACAAATACAACAGCTTCAGAAAGAAAATGACTTAAATCAACAAATACAACAGCTTCAGAAAGAAAATGACTTCAATGAAATAAATTTAAATTATTTAAAAAATCAATTAACAGAAATTACAGAAGAATTAAATAATTCATCAAATCTTTCTATTCAACAAAACTCACATTTATTTATTAATGATATTTCGATTATATCATCAAAAAGTAAGTTTTTCAGAAATAATTTCTAAAAGAATAATTTTAATTTTTTTATGAACTCATTCTAAAAAGCTATAAAAACAATTGAGAATACTATTAATTTATTGAATCAATAATAATAGAATTGATAAAAATAGAAAATTTGATTTATTTGTATGTAAAAGAAAAGAATGGCTGAATATACAATAATATTCAATTCGAAAAAGATCTAATTGATAAAAAACAAACTTGAATTATTTTCAAATTTTTACTTAACAAATAAATGAATGAAATCTTTCATCATTTTCAAAATAAAATATCTCTTCATTTCAATTTATTCTATTTCATTCAAAAAGAAAAATAATAAAACAGATTTTTTTACTGAAATTAATTTCGAAAAAATTTATTTTCAATTTTTCAAATAAAAAACTTCGAATGATTTATGGTTTTTTCAACAAACTCTTTTCATTAAACATGTTTATCAACATTTCATTCAAAATTAATTATTTCTGTTTTGTTGAATGAAAAACAACTTTTCTTCCTCTTCTTCTTTTTCGTTTCATCAAAATCTTTTCTTTTCATTATGTTCTAGAACCAACATTCAACAAATGGAAACAAAATGCCATCACTGTGGCTGGTGGAAATGAAGAAGGAGAAGAATTAAATCAACTCTATAACCCTGTTGGAATCTTTACTGCTGAAAACAAAAATATTTTCATTGCTGAATGGAATAATCATCGTATTGTTGAATGGAAATATAATGCAAAGGAAGGACAAATCATTGCAGGTGGAAATGGACGTGGAAATCGAATGGATCAATTGAATAGCCCAACAGATGTGATTGCTGATCAACAAAAGCATTCGATCATCATTGCAGATTCGGGTAACAGACGAGTGATCCAATGGTTGAATCAAAAGCAACAAATTCTCATTCAGAATATTGACTGTTGTCGTTTGGTAGTGGATAATCATGGATTTCTTTATGTTTCTGATCGAAAGAAGAATGAAGTGAGACGATGGAAAATGGGAGAATTTAACAACGAAGGAATTATAGTGGCAGGTGGAAACGGAAAAGGAAATCAACTTAATCAACTCAATTTACCTACTTTTATCTTTGTTGATGAAGATCAAACCGTTTATGTATCAGATCGAAACAATTGTCGTGTAATGAAATGGAGAAAAGGTGCAAAAGAAGGAACAGTGGTGGCTGGAGGAAATGGTGAAGGAGAAAATCTCAATCAATTATATTATCCTCAAGGAGTAATTGTTGATGATTTGAATCAAATTTATGTTGCAGATTATGAGAATAATCGAGTAATGCGTTGGTGTGAAGGAAAAGAAGAAGGTGAAATTGTT